AATTATCATATTATAAATAGATCTATCTTAGACTTCCATTTAAGTTCCAGCGGCACAAGTTCTTTTTGATTTTGGGGTTCCATTTAACAGTCATGGTCAGTCTTTTTGTATAAAAAATATAGAAATATTAGTGAATATTTTATAGCTAATCAAGTATAATCGATATTAAACTAACAACTCATTGTCTGTCTGCCTAAGTAATTATCATATTATAATAGGTCAAGAAGAGTCAATGTCAACATTTATTGTATGTTGGCATGTTAAGTAATAGATCAAGAAAAGTCAAGGTCAACATTTATTGTACGTTGACATGTTTTTAAAGAAATCGATTTTTAGTCACATACAATTATATTGTTTGTTTCGCGTAAATAATAGAAAAGCGTTGAAAATATTAGTTTGTGGGGACGACGAGTTGCTCAGTTATGGAACAATAATGTTGTGTACAAGAAAGTTTAAATAATATATTTTTTTGCATGAGAAACATTTTATGGTTTGTTAATTTTTCTACGAATTATCACTCATTTATTTATTAATACATTTTAATTTTTAATATTTTCCAAAGTAAATACAGCCCGTGCATCACACGGGTTACATACTAGTATTTATATTATAAACATGTATATTATCAATAATTATTTAATGCTTAAATAATTTTTGAAACTAAATAAGGTAAAATGGTATAAAAACAATACAAATTATAATAGAAGTTAAATAAAAAGAGGTAATTGAATAATATAATATAATATATTTATTTATTTATTTAATTTGCGGAATTTATAATGTTAACTTTTATTATATTTAACATATTTAAATAAAAATATATCCGAACAAACTAAGTAAATAAATGTATTAAATACATATAACATAAATAATGTAATATTTTTTATCTAAATAAATAAATATATTAGATTTTAATTATATGTTTTATTGAATTCTATATTGTATGCTTTATTATTTGTTATTCATTATTTACTATATTAATATTAATTTATTTTATTATTTGTTAATTAAATGTTGAGTACATTAAATATTAAAAAATAATAAACTAAAGTCAAATAAAATATATTTTAAAATTAACTAAAATAATATTATTTGTTATTTTTTATTGTAATAACTATATATTTAAATTTTAAACATAATTTCAATAATAAAAAAAGTAAAATTAAATAAATAAAAATAATAAAAGTAAATTACAGAATTTAAATAAAAAAATAAAATAAAATGCTGATGTGGCAATTTTTTGCCAAATAAAAGTTAAGTTTGTGTATCCGGTTGCAAAAAAAACAAAGGTGGTGTATTAAACTGTCAATGTTTAACTGATGACTTGACTTCTGTTTGTTGAGTTAGACTTCTCGGTGACATGGCTGTAAAAAAATTGCCTTGTCAGCTTTCCCTTGACGGACGTTAAATCTGTGTATCGAGTTGCCAGGAATGTAAAGGTCATGTATTTATTTGTCAAGGTTTAAAGGTCGTGATTAAATGACCAATCAACTAAAGGTCATGTATTTTCCCGCCAATAGGCCTTCATTTCCTACACCAACATGATGTACTTTATAAAAAAACATATTGTAATTTACAAAACAATGCATTGCACTTTATAACGACTATCAGATTGCACGTTAGAGATCGAAACTAACCGAACTCAAACTGTTTTCAAAAAAACAAAAATTATTATAAAAATAACATAAAAATAATAACATATTAAATATAATTTTAATATAAATAATAAATTATTTTGATTATTTAGGATCGTTCAGTTAACCGAACAGAATAAACCAGATAATTCAGTTTAGTTTCAGTTTTATTTGGGACAAGATTTTGTTCAAATCAATCTGCACAATATCGGTTGGCACGGTGTACCCTTGTGTTACATGATTTGTAATTAATATTTGCTAGATTGCATATTATATTTTGTTTATATAGAATATTGCATTTCTTAATAAAAAAAACTTAATATAAATTATTCAGTCAACAAATATTACAACACTAATTATGTTTTTATAATACAAATAATATTTATCTCCATTATTCCAGTTTCGACGTCCTCTCGGTTGATTAAACCAAGCTGACCAATGATCCGACCAATTAGTAACTATTTAATTTTGTAAAAATGTAACAGTTTTTGTAATGTGCTTGTAATTTTGCAATATTGTGCACATAATGTATTGTTACTATGCGATATATTAAACTTTTGATAAATTACAATATCATCCCACTATTAAAATACCATCTACTAAAAGTTCTCAAATTGCACAAAGATCCTACAAAATGTCATACAATACACACATAGACACGGCTGCAACCGTCTGCCCGCCGTCGCACGCCTTGTCGTCCGACCGTCTTTTTCGGTTAGAGACGTCGTTGCCGTGACATCACAACCTAGAAGCATGTATCAGTCACCGACAAAGAGCTGAGGTCGTGAATGTCGGAACCCGCCCGCCGCTAATCACCCCATCGCACGGTCGTCTTATCAGCCAGATCCGTCGCCGCTGTGTCGTCGCGTGCTGGAAGCAGGTCCCCGTCACCATCAATAAATGTTGACGTGAGTCGTGGCGCTCGACGGCATAATGGTCTTTCCAGTGTGTGTGTGTGTGTGTGTGTGTGTGTGTGTGTGTATGTGCAGATCTGAAACCGATATGTGGAGGGTGATGAAAGAGAAAATTGATATTTAATTGGTAAGTGGGTTCCACATAATAAATGTGTATTGACCAATTTAACCTTAATTATTGGTCAAATGCACATATTTAACCACACTATAATCGAATAATTGCTAAATTGTCATTAATGATTGACCATAATTTGACTTTATCATAACCATTGATATGATTTATCA